AGAGAGCGGTTAGTGCAGTAACGCTTAGTGTTGAGTGTAAAGGCCTGATGCACAGTAAGCACCCATTAAATAGGAGCTAACATCATTATACACGTCATTAAAAATAAACAACTTTTACACCTTCCTAAGGGAAAAACAAAATGCTTCTAAAAAAAGGGGTTGGGGCCATAGACAGACTAGTCATCTTCAAGAAAAAAATATAAAAATAGATTTAAAAAATATTATCTGACAAAGAAAGGAAAGTAGAAAAATTTTGATCTTTAATTAGAGTCTGCAGTGTACACTTATTTTTCTGTAATCCATGGTGACATATCTCCATGTAAACATTCAGGAAAAGGGGGATGCTATGTCACAACTTATGAACTATTAATGTGAACTTTGATAACTAAACTTTATACATTATTATTAACAACTGTTTTACTTCATTTAACAATGGCTCTTGAATAACAAAATAAATTATCAGCAATTTCAACCATAAATTAAAAAATAAATTAAAAAAATACCTGTTAAAGTTTCATAAATGCAAGCACAGCAATACATTGTATATGTTGATTGCAGTTCCTATGTTCTTTGTGTAAGGTAACACAAAGATTATTCCTTTCCCAATGCAATTTATGAAACGACTTCATTTTTTTTTTTCAGCTTAATTAACTGCACTTCAGTTAACTACAACTGACAATAACTAGGGTGATTATGAGTTGTGGTAAAAGAAAAGGTCGGGACCACTCGGCAGACCCTGTAAACCTAAATATAACCCAGACATTCTCGTCCCAACCTGTAGCTCTCATTTATTAAATAATTTACAAAGAACTGTTAGAGATGATTTAATGAGCAGGCTGAACTTTACCACTTTGCCATTTTGCTAGTTACAAACATATACATTTTGTCTTTAAAATAAAACAGAACACTATTCATTTCCAACGAGACTAGGTTTAAGGGAAAAACAAAAATGAAGCTATAGATATTTTTAAGTTGTATTATGTTATTATAACTATTTAATTAAAAAGTTTAATTACCAGATCAGTGCACAGTTTCTTGCTTAAAAATGTAATACCTCTCAAAGTAGATTTAAAAATTTTTAAAAAGTAAGCCAGAGGTCAGAATGAAAAGACTTAAATAATCTAACAAACAGAAACAGAACCATTTCCAATCGGTGACTATTAATGGGAATCCTCACTTTATACAGCAGGTATCGACAACCATTTAGCAATTCTTTAAACAGGCACTTGATAGAGCACTTTTCAGCTAGCATACTCAATACTGGGGCCTCACATATACAAAAAAATATGGCTTTATGACAAAGGATTCAAGATGGCAACAACTTAGAATCCAGTGCCAATATGGATTATAACAAATCCAGTGAGTATTTTGTTTTTCAATTATTCATTGAAAATTTAATCCTGATTAAGAATCGTTGGGCAGGAATTCATGGGTAGTTGATGACTGAAACCAACATTTATGTGAAATGCTTCTGTTAATTTAATCTGTGTACATGGCTTAATTATGACTGGGGATTCAATGTATGAGAAATGAATTATATCAGGATTAAAATTTTAGTACCATATTTAGTACCATATCACACAGTACCTTTTTCTTCTTTCTTTTTAAACATGTAAACATGCTTGTCCCTTCACCTAAATGCTCACATTTTAAAATCCTTTGTCCTTAAAACATATGTAATGTATCTAATTTTATTTTTCATAAATTATCTGTCAAAAACCTTTGCCAATCAAACTAAAACCTGTAACTAGAGACAAAGTGATAGAAGAAAATGGAGAAAAATCCCACCCACAAATAAAAAATTATTCATTTAACTATGAATATACTTTACATTCATTTTCTGAATTCCATTTTCACTTTAAACTATAATATGAAATGCATTTTCCTTTATGCATAAAGTGAAGAGTTTTTAATCAGTGTACTACACTGATTTCATAATTATAGTTTAGATATGTATAAGCAAATAATCATTTAACTGATTACTTTTTATAAGACTATTAAACCTGAGTTAACTATTGATATAAGATGAAGTGTTATAAGTAGGGAGTTTCTTATGAAAATACCAAATTCTTTTTCATCTTTATTTCCATGTGGGAAATGCATAAATCACCTTATAACAACGTTCTTTCTTGAAAGTTTATTAAATATATTTCAAAACATTTCATTTATTACCTTTTTCAGTTTTTGTACTGCTTAAATGCAGTTGTATAAATAACATGCTCTGCTTTCTCTGTTCAATTTTTCATACCAAAAGTATGAAAAAAAAAGTCACTATATTTGGATCCTTATTGCACTCTGTTGAGTCAACTCACTTTTCCTTTAAAGAAAATCAAGTATCAGAAATGAGGCCGACTTTTGTGTCCAGATGATATGGTCAGTGGTAATGTCACTGAGGAGAGCGAAGAAACTTCCCAGTATAGACTGTGGGATAGAAAAAGTCTGTAGAGAATAACCATGGAAACAGACTGGCAAAGGATAACACCTATTATAATAACCTGAAAAGAAAAGACAGGGAATGCTTTAACTGCTTGCAAAAAGACAGAAATTATATTCAATTTATTATGAATCTCTGCATATTTTTACATATATATCATAATATACATATATACACTATATACCATGGGTACATTTTATCCAATAAATTTTTAATAGGAAAATATCACTAATGTTTGGAACTGTAATCATTCAAAGGTAAAATTTCTTTAACAGCATATAGATGCCAAAAATAGACTCAAAAGAATAATTTGCTATGCTATTCTCTCCTTAGAGTGTGCACATGACAGAAAATAACAAGAAAAACCAGGTTCCTGGCTAATCTAGTACTAGGAATAAAGCATGCCCCTACCTGAATCTTGGAGAGTATTCTAAAAGCTCTTTCGAAAATCTTCAAGTCACTTCTCTATTTTTGTAGACTACCTTCCTATCTATTTACCCTCTGTAAATACCTCAGGCTCAGGACACATTTGTGCATTCAAGCACATGCTGCGCTGCTTGTAAAGGAGTCCTGGCAGAACTCCACTTTGAAATGATGGAGCTGTTCACCTAAGAAGGTAGATATCACCTGAGCATGGCACTCCAGTCTGCAGTCTGTTAAAGCAACTAGACTGATTTTTATAAACCTATCTTGACTTTTACCATTACACAACCAAAAATTTTAGTCATTTTTCTTAACAAAGGTGTGTTATAGATTCTCTATTTATAATATGGCATTATGAAACAGGCTAAAATATGAACAACAAAGCTATTTTCCATCATTTTGCCTAACAACTAAATTAAAAGTTTTTCTTTTATATTTTGAACTTCTAATATATATAATCACCAGTTCAAAGTTTCATTTTTAAGAATTCAATATTTTGTTTCAAAGTTTTATTTTTAAGAATTCAAGAAATTTCTAAGTGGATAAATAGGCCTTTCCTACTTTAATAATTTCTCAGTAAAGACTCCCCCAAACTATTTTGATCATGTATATTACTCACCTTATCTCTTTGGTAGTCATTAAACATGACAGAAATGCATGCAAGACCTGGATGGCATAAAAACCATAAGATACAGCCCTGAAACAAATGAAAAATAAGTCAAATAAGTGCAGCTATATCTTTATTTTCAGAATGTACCAGATAAAACAAAAACAGTAGCATATTTAGGAGGTCCTACTTGATCTCAAATGGCCTTTAGATAGAACTCGCAATAAAATGTAGAAATAAATTTACCATTGCTGTGACATTAATATTTTATTTCTAATCAAATGGGTATTTCCTGGAGTATATAAAATCTTAAATCCTTTACATATATACACATTTTGATATATTACAAATACATTAAGTAACAAGTCAATCATTGAGAAAAGCAAGGTACAATAGTATAATATTTCTGTAAAAAATAAGAATGTAATGTAACTTCATATTTGCATGTAGGTACACAAAGAAATTCTGTAAGAACGCACAAAAAACTGGCTGACAGTGGTTACCTGTTTGAGGGTTGTGAGTACAGAAGAGAGTGAAACTGGGCATGTAAGAATAGGAAACATGTTAACACTATACTTTTCAAATATCTCTTGTCTATTTTTCCTAGAACCATGGCAACGTATTCTCTTTTGCAAAATTAAATTTGAAATAAAATAATAAGTTAACAAATAGTAGCTGTTGAGGTACTTAGTATATTACAGGTAAGGAAAAAATATGTAGAAAATGTGTTTAGTATGCTACTATTTATATAAAAGCAGAGGGTAACACATAGGAATATATATTAAAAATTCTCTAGAAGGATAAGTTAAAAATTAGTAGCAGTGATATGTGAGAAGGTGATAACTGAGTAGATGACAGAGTGGTAAGAAACACATTTTGCTATTTTTTAAATACTTGTGGATGTTTGAACCTATTCAAAAAATTAAATTATAACATATACAAATAACTTTTTTAATAAAAAAGTTTAGTACTACTTTAAACATTAAAAGAAAAACATTTGTTTCTAGAAACTTTAAAAAATATACTAAGTTTCTAAACAATAAGTACTACTATCCATGTGAAAAATTCAAAAGCAAATGGCATCTTCTTGCCTATGTGGTACTCCAAAGCCTGAAGGGGGTTCCGAGGGCTGCAGGAGCAGCTTTAAAATGCTCTACACTAGGAATAAAAAGGAATTTGGCCCTCCTTCCACAGCTACCTCTTACTGCTCAGGGACTCTGTGGACTAGGGTGGGTCGACTTAAACAGCTTACCAGAATGTTGTTTAAAGTTGCTAAAATGAAGCAATACGGATTGTCTCAATCTGACATAAAAACATAACCTTCTAGGGAGGGAGGCTTGTAATGTTACCGCCCCAACCTCTCTCGTGATCTTTTCCTTTAATAATATGTAAAGAAAAGATCAAATTCATAAAGAAAAGATCAAATTCGCTTTTAGATCCCACTACCAGGAGGATACAGAGACGGGGAATAAAATGAACATCTTACAGTGAAACAAACGGCTGCAACAATATGTCCTCAGCTTCCTGGTTCCATCTGCTTATGCTGAAGGATAACTCCTCACTGTTTGTTAAAAATTCTGAGTAACAGTTCAGTCAATTAATAACTGTTTTTTGAGAAATGCAAACTATATTCTAATTAAAAAAAAATTTTTTTTAAATTCTGATACTATAGAAAATATGTAAAATCCCTATTTATAAATAATCATAAGCCAGGCAAAACTAACCAACCAAAAATTACATGGAAACTACTGTTTTATGGGTTCTGTAAAGTATGGATAAAATCATCTACACTTCACAGGTTGTGAAGATTAAATGAGTTGAAACACAAGAAGAGCTTACAATAGTGCCTGGCACATAATATAAGTTTAATAAATGTCAACGTGCTTATTAACTTCCTGAAGAAAGCATAACAAAGTTGATCATCAGAAAAAGCCATTTTCTAACCAAACCCATACTTTGGCAAATGTGATGTAGAACTCCCTTTTTAGTGTACTTCTCTCCACTGTGATGATCTGGTAGAGTCCACAGCCTAATGACAACGCTAGGCAAATTCTTAATATGATTAGAAGGATCCCTGCTAAATTGTGGTGTGAATGGTAGCTGTGAGGACTGGTATCTTCAAACTGTTCCCAAAGCAGCAAAATACTCTGCAAAACACAATACATTTAGAAAAAAAAAAATCATACCTACTTAGAATAAAGTACTTTTTCAACTCTTAAATATCCCTTTAATAGTGTATAAATATTCCTAAGAGGTTCTAAGATTTACCAGACTATAAAGGTGTCAAGTAATAAAGCACAGGCAGTCTTTTCCTTGCTGATATCCTAAGCTACAGAAAAGAGATTATCAAATGAGATCGCATACAAAAATAAAAAATGCTATTGTTACCACGATTCAATTAAGACATTTCTAAAGACGAAAATAAGTTGAAAAGATTAAAAGAATAAATATAAACTTTTTTCTAAATCCATCTCTTTCTTACTTCAACACCTTATTAGGAATCAAACTGTTCTGCATTTAAGCCTATGATCTCAAAATAACTTGTAAATATCTCAGTATTTTTTATAATTCAGAAGTTAACAAATCAGAATAGCTGATTTCAGACTTGGCTCTTTTTCCAAGGTAACCTCCCTGGGTACAGGAGAGTATATTTTTAATAGTACCAAGAGCAGAGTTATTTATCCTTATTTGTTTGCTCATCTTTTCTCCCATATTGTTACTGTAACAGTAAAAAGCTCAGCAAATTCCTCATTAAGCTGTTCTGTTTATTGCTATTCAGTAGAAATCAATGTCCACATTTCCTCCATCTTTACCAAACATCAATTACTTAAATTACTATAATGTTTTTACCATCACACATAAGTTGCCCTCTGTGCTTCCTTCACTTGCCAACTCAGCTCTCAAAATTGTGTCTTCAGTGGCTTCCAAAGAATTTAGATCAAAACTCAATTATTAAATCCAATGCTTCGATTTTATGAGGGCTACTAGCAAACTCTTCCTTTCCCTATTCTCAAATATTCTACCCTAATTTTATCCCTGCTACTATTCTTGATAGGTGAACTCCTTTGTCATCTGCACACATGAATCTCCTTCTTGGGCTGAATATCTGCTCTTTTTTACTGAAAATGTTATTCCTCCACTCCACCAAATTATATCCATCTGATTTAAACTACGTTTCTAAACTTAACTTTTACAAAAAAGAGGTGCTACTATAGAACTACCATTTTTACAAAAAAGAGGTGCTACTATAGAACTACCATTTCCTACTATCTCCGTGAGGTGATGGATGTTAACTGGCTTAATTGTGATCATCTCACAATATATATATGTATACCAAAACATCAAATTATACACCTTAAATACATACAATTTCTATTTCCACTAAAGCAGAAAAAACACTACCAATGACCATGACACATTCTTATAATTTGAGCTCCCACATTTTCATATATGTATGCCAATACATGACCTGTGGAACATATGAATGTATTTATATAGTCTCTCGTTGCCTTTATCATCCACCTTGTCTGGGTTGTTGTTGAGGACTAGGGCCATGTCTAATGTAGTCTTCACAAATGCCCCCATACACTCTTAATTTGTATTTATCAGTTCTTAATTTGTGTTTGTCTATGATAATGAATTTAAATTATGATGAAATAAAAATTCAATTAAAAAAAAGCTACTAATCGAGAAATGAGAATTTAATATTAACACTACTCTCCACAATTCCTGAATCAAAAATGTTAAGTTGGTAGAATCTTGCCCTTATTTTAATCACTTCTAATTTAGTTCTTTCCCATTAGCCCTCCCTTCCTGGCATTACCTCCTTTCTAAATATCACTATCTTTGATCTGGTCTCTTTCTAAACTCAATCATGTAAATTCAATATACCTATTTCACTCAGCCCCTATTGTACTTAATAAATACTAGAGGTACAAAGAAGAATAAAGCAGAGACCTTATCTTTTATTTAACGAATTTTGTAATTTATCTAATATTGCATTAAAACTTAGATTATAATGTCCTTTACGAAGCCCAGGTATGTATTTTATTTTCATTTATAGCCATTGATGGTCGCAAACTCAGTACAATTTTTTATGTTTATACCTTTCTTCTGAATTTTTATAAACCCCTGTATACAGGCATACAAGAATCCTAGAATAATGTCTAAACTAGCACTACAGAGGGGGAATAAAAAGCACAGAAGACCTTTCTAAAAGACCGAATTTGTTTTTGTAATTGTTTTCAAAATCATGATCCCAGTCTTTTTTATTCTACATTTTGCTTTTTCATTGATCTCAGATATTCACTTGAATTACTTCATATATAATGTAGAACTGAACCTAAAGATCCTTGCCAATGAATGAACCTCAAATTCACTGATTCACTCATTTAATGTTGAGTGCTTACTATGTGTTACAAAATATGAAAAAAGCTACTAAGTAGGAAATGAGAATCTAACCTAATATTAAACATACTGTGTTTGAATAAGCTGGTAGGAAGCTCAAATTTAGGTAAATTACAATTAATTTCAACACTCAGAAAATTAACATGTTACCTGATCTATCACTCTTTAAATTCACTTTAAAATGACACAAATTCCTCATGGGTCCTGGGTTTCAATTTTGAAATGAGATATGCTCACATATGCATTTCTGAATACTGAAAAGCAGAGACAGTGAATGTCAATACTCACCTGTGTTATGACAATGAATACGGCAATGCCAGTGGATGCAGGAGTAGAATCCCACTGGAGAGGTCTGCTTTGAGACTTTTTCATTCTGACTATTGTCCAGCCCATGCATAGACTCAGAAGTAGGTATAACATTTGAATTTGAGAAGCGATGTCAAAAACTAATGGGAAACGAAAACCGAAGTCAACCAAGGTTTCATGATACAAAGAATGTGGTCCTTTCTGAGTTGAGAATATAATTATTTCTTACCCACAAAAAGATGGGCATTTTCAAAGAGAAGCTGATGAAATTCAACAATAAGAGTATTTATGTATACAATTCTCAAGAACTAAAACTTCACCATTAAATTCGTAAACATTTATGAAAATAGTTAAAACAATCACAATACTCCTATTTTAATATACATACATATATATAAATATACATGCCCATATCATATCTTTAAGGTAACTTTAAATTTCTTTGTTTCCCATTTTTTTTTAGCTTTTCTAACTACATAATCCTGTTATCTATATCTCACTGCTTATTAAAAGAAACAAATTCTAAACATAATTTCTACAATGTAAAGAATATTGGTGCTTTCATTTCTCGGTTGCTAATGTTTTTTTCTGATGGCTGAACTGTAACGTGAAGAATATTTTCTAAAATTATTAATAAGAAATAGCATGACAATAAAATGCATAGCTGCTGTAACATCCAATTAATTATCTTGGCTTTGGTGTCTGAGTTCCAAAGACAAATGAAATAGTCCATGAATTAGTGTGATCTGCCACCAGGTGGCCATCACTTACACTGCAGGGGAAGCCTGCTACTTTAAAAAGGATGCAACAAAACCTCCTGCGTCCAGTTCAGCGCTACAAGAAAACAACAATGGATAAGTTCCATGCATATTTTAGAAGCTAGTATTTATCGATTTTAAAAAAGATTATCACTTTTTCATCATGCTATATTTTGAAATAAATATGTGATTGCAATTTCACAAAAGTTTCTTCAAATTGCCATCCATAACTTTGACGTATACAATTTTTACTTCTTTTATATAAAGATACCTCAGAGAAACAGATAAAATTAGCTATAGTATAATACTTATATTTACAAGTTATAAGCCGAAGTCCTATTAATAATATAGTTTTTAATATATATTTTGGCATATTTTCCCTGTTCCACCATCAAAATTAAAACTAGATACTCTACATTTAACTTGTAAACAGTGAATTCTGATAATCAACTGTCATTACATTTGAATGAGGTAAGATGTCATGTTCTTTCGGTTCAAGCACAATTTTCTGTCATCATAGATTTTTAAATGACTGTGATGCCTATTATTTTTATTACATACTCGGTTACTTAAATAAAGAAGCTATAGTCAATGGAATATTCCTACATAAACTGCTAAGAGCAAAAAAAAAAATATCTGGGAGGAAAAACACCTGATTTTCTGGCTCATTTCTTTATATTCTAAGTAATGCATATATTGATATAATACTATAACTGTGAGAATAGGTAAAATGCTGCTTATTTGTTAGTGAAAAATAACTAATTGTAGATAAAAAACACAGATCACACAAAAATCTCATTCTATGGCATTTTATTTAAAATCTTGAAATTTTAATCATTTAATTAACCAAACTGTTGTGAGAAATACCAAAATGAGCAACATCGATTTACTGCAGTTTTTGAAAAAAGACTTTTGCTTTGTAACCTACAGTTAAGAAGATGTCAGAAAGACTAATATGCTGTTTTGCATATAGCAGACACAGAAAATTCAAAAATCCTTGAGTTTACTAACAGCTTTGCCACTGATGGGTTTTTGTCTGTTTTGCCTCTTTGGACCTCAATTTCCTCATCTAAAATGCATAAGCTAAATTAGTTCTAAGGTTCTGTCCAACTTTAAAATACTTGTGATTCTGTTAAACATCCTGAGTCATGTAAGAGAAAAAAGTGTGAGAAACTAAGAGCTCTAGATAATGTTAAAAAAAGGAGAAGCAATTCTTGTTCATGCCCAACAGGTGAACAGTACACTTTCTCTTCACAAGAAAATGAAAGGTTCTAGAAGTCTTAGAATCTTAAAATAGGCAGCAAGGTCAGGAAAAGTGGGTCCTGAAATGATTAGAGAGATTACCATAAGATACTCCCTTAAAGAGTAACAAGACTAAAGGAGGAATATGGAAACACAAAGAAAAGTAAATCCTAAAATGGTGCCATATTCAGAATCTACATTTTTAGAGCCAATCTTAACTTTTCCAGGACTAAAAATGACATATGACCTGATGTCCCTATGAAGTTCTCTTTACAAAGTCATACTTATAGAAACTTTTAAATATTTTTTCTCATCATGCTTAACTGAAAAATTACTTCATAAGCATTCCTCTTATGGAGGAACACAAAAAAACAAAGGTGTGAGGTCAGCTCAGTTATAGGTGTACTCGATGGCACTGGGTCAGAATAGAGAAAAAGAGTCACAAAAGAGATGAAAATAGGAAAAAAATCTTCACCTTGGGGTAAAAAAAACATGGATCCGAGCCTTGGCACTACCACTCAATAGCTGACTGACATTTAGAAATGTGCTTCATCCACTGAGAGTCTTTATCTGCAAAATAGGGATAAGCAGACCTACACTTCACTGAGGTTTTATTGAGGGTAAGAGAATGCATATAAATGTGCTCTAAAAATTGTGAAGAGCTATACATATTATTGAGAGGGAACTAAACAGGATATACGGGAAGTAAATCTGTAGCCCTGTTTTCAGTCATGCTGAATTCTAACCAACCGTGAACAGAAAAATTATATTATGACAAAATATAATTTCCAAAAAAAGGAAAACAAAAAAGAAGCAGACAGTAAATTTACATTGAAAAGAAAATGCTCAGAAAGATACTCACATTCTGCCAAACTTCCCATAAAAGGTACCCCTATTCCATCTTTGGAGTAACTGAGGAATTGAAGAGCAGAGTATTAGTGTAAATTATAAATGTGAAAAAAAAATTGTTTGTAATCAAATCAAGCATAATTTTGGTGGACTAATTAGGATTAATTAGACGTAATGATGAACACAGTTTTAGTGGTTGTGAGTTACCTGGAGAAATGAATGTAATTAGCTAAAGCTGAACCAGCTTGTAACAGCAATGCAGTTGTCAGAACCTTTAAAATCATGTGCATGGGTCCTCCTTTCTTAATAGCCTGCCACAATGATTGAGCATAAATGCAAGCAATCACAAAGTACACTAGGACTAGGAGGAAAAAGAACTCATGTAACCCTGTAAAGAGAAGAAAGGAGTTTGCTTCAGTAAAATAAGCCAGTTAGAGTATTGGGTTGCTTTCAAATCTCCCTGTCAATATACTTCCAGAACTTGTTTTTTAACGGGAGTCATAGCATTCATTTTTGTAAAAGAAAAACAAAAAAGAAAATTATTGAAACTTAAAAATTTTATACTTTTGGATAGTTCTAACTATAGGAAGGCAGATTAAAATAACGTCAATCTATAAAAAGCACAGTAGTCAGGGCATAAGCCCAAAGACTACCAGAAGATTATAGTTTTGTACAAAACCAGTAAAATAATTATTTCAGAATGGCTAAATATAGTTTTACCCCCAAAGTAGATTCCTTTTGTAAGATACTTAGAAACAGATTTAGTCAGTCTACAATAGTATACCCTGACAACTGGTCTCAAAGTGTGATACCCGGGCCAGCAGCAGCAGCATCATTAAGAAACTTGTTAGAAATGGACATTCTTGGGCTTCATCCCAGATCTACTGAATCAAAAACTCTGGGAGCAATCTGGGTTTTAGTAAGCATTTCAGATGATTCTGATGCAGCTAAAGCACAAGAACTACAGTTCTAGAATGTACCATTACCTTAAATTTCCATTTGGACAAAGCTTCAAAATACCTGTCATGACCAGAGCCCCCTTCTGAAGTAAACTGTCTTCAGCCCTGGTCAAAGAGGAAATACTACGGTGACCATGTGATTCTGCTCCAGAATGTAACAAATGGCTATCAATCCACAGAACAGCCAGTAGCCAACAGCATAACTGGGTTCTCAAAGACAAGTTAGGCTAATCACATTCTTTTGAGAAATTAAAACATGGAACATGGAAAGAATTAGGCAATAGAAATTGAAGTTGAAAGGAATTGATATTGGGATGGGACAAAGAAGTCAAACCAGGCCACGATAAAATAAAAATTTTGAGTACACTGAAATTTTCAGTGAGCAAAGGAAGCTGGTTGGTAAGGACGAGAACAAAATAAATATGCAGATTTTATATTAAAAATGGTGCCAGTCATTAAGTGGTATCTAGTTCCTACTAGTAGTGTTTCAGAACAGTTTTCATGCATCCTCTAAATAAACACCTCCTTTTTCTGTGCTATCTAGAATCTTTTGACTGTGTCTTCATTTTTTGAAACTTCCAGAAAATTTTTATAATAAACCACAGGGCTAGCTTGAGTTTAATAGCTTACATTTACTTGATTACATCTAGAGCTAGTCCCTAATATTAGGGCTTTTATATTCCAACTAAGTAACACTGGAGTATAGTGACAGTATCTCTGAATAGAGCCACCCCTATTGAAATCTGTGGATGAACAGTCTAAACTGCAGTCACTTCCATTCCAACTGTGAACCCGCTCATTTGGGGTAAACTTCAATCAGTAGGTAGAGAAGGGACTACTTCTATTACACGGAAAATAATTTTAGAAAAGCAATCCAGAAGTGACAAATAGTAGGAAAAACAGTCAATAAACAATTCAATCCCAATCATATTTTTGGCATGGTTAGCAGAAAAAAAAAAAAAAAGGAGAGAAAAAGTATTTCAACCACTGGGTGTCTCTCCTGTTCTGCATATATAAATTTTGATAATCCAATTCTCTGGTCCAGGTTAAAAGGCAAATTTAGACGTCAGGAAGAGATTATCAAGCAACAGAAAAAGCATATTTTCTTTTAAATTTCCTTACATAGAAAAGTATTCCAGTTTTAGAAATAATGGGACAATAAGCCTGGATTGTTATAGTAATGAAATAAGATGGAAAACATGTTAAACATAACTGTGAATCAATAAAATTCTTTTTGCCAGCTTTTGTTTTAAATCCTGGTTTTCATCTTTCCTTCTTGGTATAAAGAATTAAATATGGCATTCTATTTAAAGTTTTATTTGTTTATAATTCTTTACAGAATATCCAATACAAGTTAAAGTTTCAGACTCCATTAGGTTACAAATCCACCATGAAAAGAAAATCCTTAGACAATTTACTGAGTAATCAGAATAATGTAGGAGAGGGAGACACTTTTGAAAATGAGACATATGCCACCAGCAAAAAAATGTTTTAGGATTATTCAAGCTTAAATATATCTTCTAGAAAAAGCTAACATTATAACCAACAAATTTTGAGATGATAATATTAAATAACTTGAAATAGGACATATGTCCTACCTTTGTTCATTGATTTTTCATCAGTTATTCTTACTTTGACCATATCTGCAAGATAACTTTAAGGATAAAATATTGGCCCTGCACTCAGTGTTCCTTTAAATAAATTATCTCTTGAAAAAAAGTTTTTGTTTTCAGTTATCAACCTTATTTTTGTTCTGCCACTATTCTTCACAAGAAAGCAATCTGTTCACTTTGAAATTAAAATCTAATTTTAAAACAGATGGATACTAGGTATTAAATTTTACCTACACATGAAAAATCCTCTTAAATGAGCATGCAACAGGTGACGAACACTTATGTTATTAGAAAATGTATAGATTTTAAGGCAAACTTAATGAGAAGAAGAATTGGCAAAATTCGGTGGAAAGAAAACTTACAGGACAGCTTCAAAAAAATTCAGCTCTAGCTAAATAATGGGAGATGGGAGAAAAGAGGGTAAGAGAAGGGGAGAAAGTCACTGGGTCATGGGTCGGCACCTGGAACACTCTTGACTACCCACAATGCTTGCTGTCTCAGAGCCCAATGTCCACTCCACCCTCAAATGTCTCAAGATATATCTGTATTAGTCAAAACCAAAGAAATTCCATTTTCCTTGCCCTAAGAGGTAAGCCTAGCCCTGGACTTTGACTCATTGCTGTACCCTTATCTTCTTTCTGACACCTTCTATTACATTTTTCTCATGTTGTACAATGAGGGCACATGACCCAGTTCTGACCAACAAAATGTGATGAGGGAGCCTCTGGGAAGGTTTGCCATCAGTCATCCCTCAGTATCCACGAATCCTGTGGATATCAAAATCTACAGATGCTCAATCCCTTACATAAAACAGCATACCAAGATGTGTCAGGTGAACAATGCTCAAACAACAATTGCTAGAGAAAGAATGAGGATCTTTGAAAATGGCTGAAGGCTACAGCAGGGTATGCCTACCCATCACTTCATTCACATGGATTTAGCGTAGTGCTTGGCACATGACAAATTCAAATTTTCCTTTTTGGAACTTTCTGGGATTTTAAAAAATATTTTCAATCTGCAATTGGTTGAATCTATCTGCTGGTACAGAATCTACGAATTTAGAGGGCCAACTATATCTAGATGTGATGCCCAGAACTGCTGCTGTCAACTTTGAACATGACTGAGCTGGCCTAAGGACAAAGATGACAGTCAAAGGATAGCAGGATAGAGAGCTACTGAATAAAATACCCTGAAGAAGCCTTGAGAATTCTTGTTATGTAAGATAATTAATTTCCTTATTGTCTATACCACTTGCATTAGTGTTTTCTGTTACCTTAAGCCAAAAACACTCCAATGTATTATCAACAACATGTTACCAGAGCTAAATGGAAGACCCGACCCATTATCTGTTGGGATAACAGAGGCAAAAAGGGACAAGAGAATAGAATGAACATATCTGGAATCTTAAAAACAGTGAAATGGCAGATGTGACAGAGCTTGTAATATCATTCCAATAAAAACCAGTCTACTTTAGATGATAATGCTTTAACTCTCAGAATTCTGACTACTTCTTTTGGTCTCTAACAAGAACACAAACAGTTAATGAGGATTCTAATTTTTAAGAAGGAGTTTTATTTTATTCTACCTTAAAGGATGATATTCCTATGTAGTATTTTGTCAAATGGCATCACACTTGCCTTATTTTGTTTTATTTCATGTTTTCAAAATCTAGAACAAGTGTGTAAAATACAGAAAAAAACAAAGTCTGGTAGATATAAAATACATAATTGGTTTGAAAGAAAGTAAATTATAAAATTTAACCAGAATAACATGCAACATTAATTGCAGCTATTTGCACCAGGTTATTCTAATTCAAATCTCTCATACATGTGGTTTAACATCAATTCTCAATAAAAAGCATAACAAATCAATTTTCCCTACTCAGGGCAGAAGATTAGACAAATGAGCAAAAGTGTCTAAAATGAACTAATTGGAGATTATTCTCTGGAAATGAATTCCATACCTGAGCTATGGAGTAGAAGGAATCCTTCTTAAGGCTCTACTTGAAAATCAACACATTACCAAAGCAATGTGGAATACGGACTTTTAGATCAGTGGTTCTGTGAGTAGTGACCAACTACAAATGCCTGGTTTTCACTCCAAAATTGAATCTATGAGTCTCTAGTTGAATCTATAAGTCTTCCAGATGCATACACATCTGTGTGTTGGGTTGAGAACCACTGATTTAGATTTCAATGTAGAATTAACTACATTTTATGGCAATGTAGAATAAATCACATGTTAAGGCCTTTAGGCATTTTAATCAATAAAATGATGTGATCCTTAAGAATTAAGCCAGCAACATAATGAATTTGAATACTTCTGAGTACTTCTGGCACTTTTCAATCATCAATCTCTATAGATTAGCTTTGCATAGAGAGAATCCCATGCTTCATGAAAATACTATAGTGAGGTTTTGTCCCTCATTTAAATATTGTTGATGGCACGAGCAATGTAACTTTCTCCATTCTACTATTGAAAAAATATATTTTAGACTTAAGTGTAAGCATCTAATCAAAATCAGTCACAGGAGATTGGTCAGAACAAATTAGGAATAAGAACTGAATCATAATGCTTAGTGTGAACTCTAAAGAAAGAGCTGGCCATAATTCAGGATGTTGAAAATAATACTAGAAGAGATGGGAAAGGTTCAAGATGAGCCAGAGTGAGAATGATCACATTCAGTGCCCAAGTAGGGGACAGGGCACAAATCTGATCACTTTATGGTCTGTGGTCAACGTTCACATGTCAAATTGGGAAAGAGGAAAGAGACCAGAAACGAGAGCCTGGACAAGGAGGTAAGAAAAAGTATATCAGAATCCAGCAGCATCTCATGGATCCATACAATAAATAAAACAACCTCTTTAGCCAAAGGCCTACTACCTAGACAGCAGTAGGGGGTAGGGCTTATTGATCTGGATTCCACTAGCGGCAGTAGGTTTTCCATGTACAGTGACTGTATGCAGCAGAGCATTACTTCTTATTGAGCCTTGACCAGTCCTAAAAATAAGTATCACATGAAATAATGAAGTCTTATGGTTAAAAGGGACCTTATAAACAATTTAGTCCAACATGCTATTTGTAGACATGAGTTTCATCAATGCCTTTTCAACCTATGAAAAATAAATGCCAACATCCTTTAAAAAGATAAAAGAAATGGTAGGACTGATTTAACTTCCAATAACGATCTACATTGATCTAAACTACCATTAACTGAAATTTGACCTTTAAGTTCATTTGCATTCAAAAACTACTTGAGTAGCTTACCCTTCTGTCATTTCCTTTACAGAAAAAACTTTTAAAATTAACTATTTTAAAACATTTAACATCCCACTTTGACACTATGTGTAGGGGGTGTGTGTGTGTGTGTGTGTGTGTGTATTCAGAACAAAGGATTTTTAAAAAAGTTTACCTCTTGTGACCTACTGTCTGTAACACATGCTCCTTGAGCTGCTTTTCTAGCTGTGGCAATTACACTTTGAACTAAACAACTGTAGCCTCAACTCCTGCCCTAGCTCTATCTACCCACCTCAATGGCCAATGAGATACAAAGGGACTGAATTTTTCTCTAAGCAGATTGACTCTTCTAAATGAGTAATGAACTTCTGTATCCCTTTTCTTAGAGAGACAGCCTACAGATCTTAGTTTTCATTCTGACACGTTAATTTACAAATCTATTAAGATACTTTATGGCATGCCTATCTTGAATCACAGGAAGTCATTCATTTCTCTTTGGGCTAGGTATCTCACTTCGGTAGTACAGTACATAGTCAAACTAAAATTTTGATGAAATATTTAATGGGAGTAAATCTAATTTTGGAAAGCATTATAAACTGATCACTCCTAAAATGGTTGAAAGCTCCAATAAGGGCAATTCTTAAATTTGCTCAAACAACCTACTGAAAGGATGGTCATACAAAGTAGCACAGTTTCTAATCTCTATTATTGAGTTTCCAATTTAGATTGCTCAACTTACTAACATTTTTCTGTTTATAAAAATAATGCTAAGTTATCATTAAAAAAATCTAAAATTTATAGAGGAAAATAAAACTATTTATAATTCTACCACCCAACAAATGGAAATAATCTGTTAATATTTTTATACTTCTGTTTATTCTCTATATTTTTAACATATTTGAAATCATACAATATAAAATGGTCTTTTTTAACTTAATAGTATAGCTATGAATATGCTATAGGAAGATTCATTTAACTATTTCCTACTGTTGGACACATAAGTTTTTTTAATTTTTAATATTCTAAAAACAATATGAAAAACATTTATGCATAAAATTTTTTCTGTATTTAGAACATATATTTAATGGATATTCTTACCAGATTCTCCAGCACTAAAATGATCAAGTGGATTTCCTTCAGCATCGGGGTTTAGTAACATCATTTCAAATGATATATCTTCCACCTGATAATTCTCATTGTCATCTTTGCACGTATACTTGTCTGCATAAAACATGTGCCATGATTGTGGATATGGAATCTGGGACACTGTCAGATTATGTTCAGTCTGGTTCATGGTCACTTTAAAGAGAAAAAAAAAAATGGCACTTTCAAAGCAAAATTCTCAAATGTATTCATTGTTTTGGTCATATAATCAATTTTAAGTTAGAAAGCTCTTATTTCTTGTTGCCTTAGAAATCCAAACCCTGTTGTAGTATTGGGATATGGTTTGTAAACCATAATGTAGATAAAAACATATATTAACAAAAGGAATCACTATAAAAGTACTATGAAACACCAGAAAGTAGAATGGTTTCACTGAAACTCTGAATTTTAATTTTAAATATTTTCAGATTTTTTGAGTGGGTTAGTGACATTAAAATTTTTTCTCATTGTAATAAAATACACAAAAAGTTACCATTTTAAAAATTTTCAAGAGTACAGATCTGTGGCATTTAGTCCATTCATAATGCTGCATAACCATCACAGTGACATTTTTGGAAATTACCTATTTGAGCTAAATGTAAAATGGAGCATTCAACATAGGAAATCATGTCTAAAAGCTATGACAAACACCTTCAAAAGATTTTCATTTTCCAAAATCTTTTTCTGATTGGTAATTCTTTAAAAAGGTATGAAAAGTGGAAAAATAGAAATTATAAGAAGAGTTATACTGGGTTAGGTCTACATAGTGGCAGGGGAGAGGGGACTCATCAGTGTTGCCCTCACATAGATCTGTGCTTGAATGCTGACTCCAATACTTACCTTCTATGTGACCTCGGGCAAGTTACATGAGCAATGACACTCACTTTCTTCATCTGTAAAATGAAGATAATAGAGCAAATAGCTGATGCTAGGACTACGTTATATGAGGGACTATGCATGGTATCTGGCATACAGTAGTTGCTGAATAAAGGTTAATACTCCTTTTCCTTTCTTTAAAACAAGGTAGTTATACTAACAAGTGGTTCTCAATCCAGGGTAATTCTGTTCCCTTCCAGGGCATTTGAAAATGTGTACTGACAGTTTTGTTGTCACAATAGTTGAGAAGATACTTGGCTGTGTATGTTAAGCCTCATGCAATCCAAGGTAAAGTCTCACACGATAAAGACCTAGTCCCTCCAAAATGCCAATAATACTCTCTTTGAGAAACACTAAAGGATGTCTAAGATCTCTTCTCGATTTAAAACTATGAATCTGACCTAAGAGATACTTGCTAACACTATCAGACAGTTAGAGGAGAGCAGTGCCTCAAACACTTTGTATAATAAAAAGAGAAGAGTTAAAAGAGCAAGTCTTAGCCCTACTACTTACTAACCTTATCACTCAGCAAATAAATTACTTAACCTCTCTAAATTTGCTTTTCAGTAGTAAAATTAAGATACCTGCCCTATTTCTCTCAGATTCTCGTGAGGAGCAAATAAAATGGTATATGAAAATCTTACATATTCTTAAAATACAAGATTACGATGGGCCCGATTCCCAACTCCAGACTGCCCCTACAGCCAGCTAGTCTAGATCTTCTCAAGGGAAGAAAAAAACTTTAAAATAAATAAAAGCCATGTCTCGAGATAACTGTGGAAATATGCATATGAAAGAGATTTTAGAGGACATTGTGAAATTATTCATTTTCTTAGGTGTAATATGATATTGTGATTATGGAGAATAAGGTCTTTATGCTTATAAGGTGTAGGCTGAAATATGGTGGTCAAACTGCTCATGATGCCCACAACTTATTTTCATAGCTCCATTAAAAACGAAAATCGCACACATACAAATGTAAAGCAAATGCAACAAAATATGTTGGTTGTACTATGCTTTCAATTTTCTATATGACTGAAAATTTTCCTAATAAAAAGTTTGGAAAATGTTATTTATAGGTTGTCTTTATAAATGAGATACAGATGTATCTAGTCAGAATTCAAATTTGGACTTCACAATTAGGAATTTCATTAATAGCAGGCAAACTGGGCAAGATGACTTTATCAACAATACCACAGCACTTTTTTTTTTTTTTTGGCTATCTTAATTTAGCTGACATTTATACTTTCTTTTTTTTTTTTTTTACTGTACAGCTTCTAGAGAAATGTAACAAAGATTCTAATTTCTGTTAAAGATTTGAAGACTTTTAATAAAAATTCAATATATAATCAATAAGTGGCTCAGATATAAGGCCTTTGAAATATACATCCTAGATTATCTAGATTAATCTAGATTATATAAAGGCTCTGCTATGTTGCTGTTCTATCATTTGCACTTTTTCCCCTTAGATAAAATATAAAAATTAACTACTATATTTTCTTAATATTTCATTTTAAATTATGCAGATTTGCATCAATTTAAAACAAGAGTGTACTTCATAAAGCAATAGTGCCTTTAGTTTCTGTCCTGCTGCCTTTTTCGGCAGGCCTGTAAAACAAGCCTCTTGAAAAAATTGTGTATTCATTGTTTTTGAGACAAGACTACAGCACAGCATGCATTATCTATGCTGACGTAATTAGTACCTCAAATATTAACAACACTTGAATTGCAGAGAATGGCATTGAATGGATAATTGTCCAATTATATTATAAAAGGAAATGAATACTACTAACAAAATACACACAATAATAATATACTAACACCCTTTAAATGACTTACAAACATACCAAATGTACAAAACTATGCACATGATGTATAAAGACACTATTGAATATGTTTTATATACAAAATTATATTTAGCTCTTATAATCTGACAGCAAATCACTCTGAATCTCATTAAATTTTTTTCTTACATAGAAACATCATTTTCGGTGCTTTTAAATGTCTTGTTTGCTTGCTGTAAAAAACTACAAAATAGTTTCCATCATCTTTTTAAAGCTGATGTTTTATAACATTACTGAATGAGGACAAAGAAGACTGAAAAGTAATTTCTCAAACATTAATTTGGGAGAATGTATACTCACAAGTTACATTTGGCACTAGAGGATTTTTCAAATCTGCTAGCCTTTTCATAGTTCATGGCAGCAGAAAGGATTTACATGGGTGTTAGGCATAGTTAGTGAACTCATTACTAAGTAGGTGAAAGGCTATTAATTCTTAAGTCTCATTAATGGCCTGGAAATGAGAATTATTTCTACAAAGAATTATTTAATAATGTGATACTACTACACTGTCATGAATTTAAGGATATGCTTTTTGCTCCAATGCACCAAAGCTCCTAAATAATAAAATACTATAAATAAGACAACTAATATATAAAAGTTAGAAAAAATAGTTTTTCTTAAGACTTGGCTTTTGTTATTGGGAAAGGAATTGATGAAATATGTAGAAACTGATATATATCTCACCAGTACTTAATTTATTTCAGGCCCCAAAATTTAACAAAACAATCTCCTTCCTCAAAAATTCCTGTTTCCTGAGATCTTCCATTCCAATAATTGCAAAGAATACCTTTACACTCAGAGAGTAGGGAAGAGAAAGAGAAAATAGAAAAAGAAACAACAGCAAGAGGTTTCATAAGTTACAGCACTATATATATGCAACTCTGTCCTAAAGAGTTATAATTAGAATCACAGGATTTTAGGATTTTCAGAAACCTTAAGAGAAAACTGGTCCAGCTTCCTTGTTGTACAGATAAGTAAAGTGTGGCTCAAAGATAAGATTTTGTTATAAGTCACTAGCAGTGATTCCCAGTTTTGTTGTCTTTCTTTTGTTACCATACTGTTTCCCTGTACATATAAGTTCTTGACTGAAGATATACGTGACTGATAAAAACATTATGATTTTGCAAGTGTATACAGTATTGGTATAATACTGACCATGTGATATAAGAAAACAAATTGATTCCTATAGCTCTAAGCTTTAAACAACCTGGTAAGCTTTTATTGGAGAAAGAAAAAGACGATGAAGTGCTAAATACAAAGCAAACTACCCACAAACCAAAAAACCCCTCAAACACTAAGCTCTATGATAATTCAGCCTACAAATACTTAGTAAAAGGCTTAACTCCGCACTCAGTATCCTGAATTCTCATTCTCATAGTTCCATGTAACTAACATTCATAGTCTTATCACAATTGTAATATCACATTTATTCACATTGATGTGGTTCATTCCTGTCACCCCTACTAGCGTTAAGGACTGAAATAGTTTCTGTATTTTGGTCCATGATTTATTACTAGTGCCTAGCATAGTGCATGAAACAACAGAAGTGCTCAGTGAATGAATGAATGAATGAATGAATGAATGAATAGACCAAAAGAGCTCTGCTGCTCTCATTGATTTTTATAACAAATAAATAAAATGTAAAGTGGTAACTATAACAAGTGCTGTGGAGGAAAACAAGAGGCTAGAAAAACTCGAGTTAACTTAGAGGATGGAGGAGGAAAGGAGAGAAAAAGAAGAACAAGCAAAGGAAAAGCTTGTGAAAAGGCTCAGGATAGCACGAAAATAAAACAAGCACTACAAATGAAGTGGGAGGGGAACAATGCTGTGAGATGAAGTTGGGAGTAAGCAAGGGCCAGACTATGATGGCTTTGCTGATCAAGTTAAGGATGGTTATCTTTGTCTTAGGAGCAGGAGGAAACCACTGAAGAACTTAAGGGTGTGGTGAGGAAGTGAATGGGACATAATCAAATTTGCTGTTCAGAAAGATCACTCTGGTTATGGAGGGAAATTAGCATGGCTGCAGTGGCCAGGGAGGAGGCTATTGCAATAGTATAGGCGACAGATTATGGCAGCTTAGAATAACATGGTGGAGATAGAGACGAAGAAGTGTAGATGAATTCAAGATATTTAGAGGTAACTTATTGATTGCAAAGAGATAGAGAGGTTGAAGAGGGGAGTGTTAGAAGACTCTGGTTTCTAGCTTGTTTCCTAGATAGATGGTGGCACAAGTTACGAAAAAAAGGAACACTGGAAAAGGACTGGGTTTAGACAGGCAAGAACTTTTTATACATATGTGGAACACTTACATGAGCAAATTGGTATAGAAAGTTAAAGATAAATGATAATGAGCACTTGCACAAATGTCTCGGGTAAGTTCTGAAATTTAGGATTGAAGTAAATAACTATACGTAACTGTCTCTTTGATATCTGAATCAATTAGTTCAGACTTCTGCATATTGTCAATGTCATCACAAATATCTGAATAAAAGATCCCTACAATGAGTGGCAGGATTGGGAATACTAATCTCATTACTATTCTGGCTAGCCACCTTGTGAGGGAATCAGAGCTGCTAATGCTGTTTATTCCTAGATGTTTAGAAATGGCAGTATTTTACTTGACTAGACTGGATGTTTAGAAATGGCAGTATTTTACTTGACTAGACTAAAAGAAGATTCAGAGACTCATCCATATGCAGAACATGACAGGGGAAATATAGGGGAAAAAGGAAAGAATAATAATTCCTATTTTTTTCTCATGGATGTTTCACATGGCTAATGTCTCTGACAACCAACTAACTTACAAGAGGTAAAATGGGTAGCATGGCACATGTTCTTCATTTCTATATTAAAAAGATCTGCATTCAATCTGGATAACTAACATCCTAATAAGTGTGCCAGTGTTAATGAGAATAGAAGAATAGATTCAGGCAACTAGGATAATAAAAGTAGAGGCTCTCTAGAGGCAACCTAAATGTTTACAAATGATGTGGGACTGGTACATCCAAAATGATACATTGTGTCACCATATGACTAGGTCCCGTGTTCCCATAACATGTTGCAAAATAGCGTTACATGAGCTAAATTATACAATTAACTGAGATAATACATTGTGTTTAGTGCTTAGCTCAGTGCTGGCAGATAGTAAGCATTTGACAAATTTATCACATTCCATGCTGCCACTGTGTCAAAATATATCTGCCATATTGGTATGAATTATGTGACTGGTAAGAAGTTGGAGTAAAGGAAATTACCTGGATATATTCTCAAAAATTTTGAATGATAAAGGGGAAAAAGGCATTGTATGTTTTGATCAAGGAAAACGTTCATTTCCTTAAACTTCAGCTTAAAACATAGTAGACAAAGTGTTATCAAACATCTTGGAATGTAAACAGTTTATTTCAACATTAAGGAGGAAAAAAATATATCTGATAATCAAAGAAAAAAAGAGGTACTCACTCGTCAACTGAGCTTTGGATAATTTTTCACTACAACTGTAACCATGACTGCTTTCCTGCAGCTTTAGCCATTCCTGGGCTTGGAACAGGTAGAGTTTAGCTTCTTTTCCAACAGCAACTGCTATGTTGTTGATTCTGACACACAGAAGAGCATGGTCACCTGGACATTAAAATAAAAATTATCAACTAGTTTGATCTTGTACAAAAGTGCAATGGTAGGACAATTCAATACTTCTATTTATCAAAATGGGAATTTAAAAATATAATTTCTTTTACTCTCACTTAACTAGGTATATCACATTAGAATATTCCATTCAGATGCAAATTGAGATTATGTACATTAATTATCCAAATCAATGTGTGGTGTTTCCTTATACTTCAGCTGATAACTGATGACATTTCATTGAATGAACAGCAACATCTGTATGTGGACCTTCACTATAATAGAATTGTTGCCTCTTTTTACAACCACTCCAGTGTCTTTAACATTTGTTCATAATCTATAGGCATTTCCTGCTAAGTTTCTTTTGTTTTTTAACGACATGGCTGTTAATATTTAATTATACTTTTAATGTAAACAATAAACATAGTTAATAGCAAGAAAGTTTAAATAAATCAATTTTGTGGTAGACATTTACACCTGACACAAAAGTTGACATCTGTGACTTTTACATGAGAACTTTCAGAATATATGTTGTAAGTCTACTATAGAATACCAGCTACATTTAAGGCCCAGAAATAAATGGCAAAAAAATAGTTACCTCTATGGTAATGGACTCTGGGTGAGAAGTTGGAGATTGCTTTTCATTTTTCATTTTAAGGTTTTCTATTCTCTTACCATCGTTTTTATTTTGGCCAATATAATGATCACTTTGATTAAATGTTTTAAATAAATGGCAGTATGATTAAATGTTTTAAATAAATTTAAATGTATAGTATGTATCAAAGAATGTCTAAGCCTCCTATGTAAATTGATTAGATTATAAATTATCAAAAGTCTTAAAAGTGACTTTAAGGCCCTATTAACATCTTAAATCACATTCTGAATTATTAGAGTTCATTTTCAGTGTAGTTCTAGTATTATTTTACTGAATTCGAATTCACTGAAAACTGATAATACTTATATATCTATACACACACAGAGAGAAATTAAAATACTTGGGATGCTCTATTCCTCAAACTTTCTTGAAAAAATCTGGATTTATTACATGTTTCTCCTCTGTTTACCAGGTAATCATCATGAAATACTGGGAATGTCTAAGCCTTGCTTCTAGACATTAGTAATAACCCATGTCACAGCTTCCACACACCCTAGATTTTCAAGCGCTGTCCAGACAGTGTCATTTATTGTAGTGACATTGCTATCACTGTCAGTAATCAAAAGTATAGTTACAGCCAGTTAATTAAGAAACTAAAGTTTCCTAAAACTAATAAAACTCCATTTCTAGAGTTTCTATTTCATTCACCCAAGGTCTATCCCACATTGGACTTTGGAAAACTGGGCTGAATCTCCTTTTCTAAGCTATTTTGAAAACTTTGGATTAAAAAAAAATTCAGGTTCCCCTCTCTTAACTACCAATTCTGTAATTTTCCAATACTTAAGATTGTTTTCCTATATCAAAAAGTTTCTCATTTCTATTATCTTCTATGAATCCTAAGAAAAAATTCTGATCTTGCATCTTTTAATGCTAAAGACTGTATGAATCAAGGATCCTAACCTTATCGAGGCAACGAATTATTTGAAATATAGTAGCAGCCAAATTAAGAGTACCAAGAGTATGTATCAAGAAAAATTTTGAGGGTGTAAATAAATACAGCAAAGGGCCAGGCCTGGTTAGTACTTGGATGGGAGACCACCTAGGAAGACCAGGTGCTGTAGGCGTAAAAATACATACATACATACACACACACATACATACATACATACATACATACATGCATACAGCAAAAATAAGAATTGTAACTTCATTCACTGAAGAATTATTGATTTTTGAGGGAGACCATAAGGTAAGAATCAAATGCAGTTCTAATTTCAGAAGGGCCAGAGAGGATACAAATTATGACGCTTCCAGGATACACTTACATGAATTTCTGTCAAGTTAATTCTAGGCTTTATGGTCCATAGTAAACCTACTTCTTTAGTAGTGGAGTAACCAAATTGTTCTAGCAATAGTGACAACTAGGTAATCAGATCTTTTATTTGGTTTCCAAAACCTCTCTACTGCAAGTAGGTTTTATCTAATTGTTCTTAAAAAACAACAACGAACCCAGAAAATCTACGTTCTGGGGCTTAAATTCACAAATAATTACAGTGCCTTAGTATATATGATCAGGCTGAGACAGAAGTGAGCAAATGATGCTTCTTCGAGACTCTCAAAAAAAGCCAGCAGACGTGTCATCTGTTCAATGTTTATATGGGGAGGGTTGGGGAGGCGGTCCTTTAGGTGCAGAATACAATCAGTAAGCGGGGGAGGATGTTAACAAGGGTGTAGGGAGCAAGAATAGTGGGGTTGGCAATAAACGCATCCCACGATGCCGGTGAGTTGCGGTGCAGGAGGGCTGCGGGCGACGCTGGAATTAAATCCAGGTGAGCTGGGTGAATTCTCGGTCCCGCCGCCTGGCTCCAAGTTTCCCCACGCAAGGGGAGGAGGCACCGCCCCCAAGATGTGCCCACGCGCCTTCGTCCTTCTCCCCGCCCCCCCACCTACCGTGGAACTCGAAGTGGCCGATGCTCTGGCCCTGAGCGTCTCGGGCCGCGGCGCTGCTGAAGCTGCCTCGCAGCGTTTTACCCTGGCCGCCCAGCGGCCACCAGCAGCAGGTGAGGGCCACAGCCAGCAGCCGCAGCACCCCCATCACCACCTGCCACTCGGCACCCACACGGCGGTCCCTAACCGCCAGCGGCTGCCAGTCCCACGTCGGCAGCTGGAACGAGGGAGGAAGGAGTGGGACCCGTGTCGCGACCCGCCCTCAGGCTACTGACAGCCAATAAGGCGGGCTCCTCTACCACGAGCCAGAGATACCTACCAATCAAAGACTGAAATGGGCGGGATGTGCACATGAATGCGTCCCATCATTTCCCTGCCTGTTGACTAGTTCCCGCCTTTTTTATGGAGACTCAAGAGGCTGTTGCTTCAGGTTACGGAAACATTACTGCCCTCCTTGTCCCGGCGTGTGGTGCCACTGAGCATGCGTGGGAACTCCGCCACCAGCCCGTAGGGCTTTCCAGAGGCTTGTGGGATTCCGAAAGAACTAAGAAACACACACGTTACCATTTCCGAAGAAGAGAGAAAGACTCACTCAAAGCCCTAGGTGCGTATGTAGCCTATTGGACATTTCCAGTTTAATGTCTCAAAGATACTTAACTGTACATGTCCACAGTTTAACGTATGACCTCTCGGCACCTCCTACCGTTTTTTCCCTCCTGGGTTCCCTGTATTCTTGAATTGCATCATCATCCAGCAAGCCAGACACCTGGTAATTATAGTGACTTTGACCCCATACACTCTTACATCCAATCAACTCTATTCGAATATTAGTGGCTCTTCTGGGTGGTAATGGGAGGAAACAGCAGCCACTATCCTATCTGGGCCATCATGGAATGTATCATCGTTTTACGTGGCCTATGGCAACTGACCTGTCTCCAGTTTTAATTTTCTCCAATTGATTACACACAGCCCATCTCTACCGTAGACCACAGAAAATTTTTGGAAATGCAATTTGCCTGGATGACTTTTCTTCAAAGATTCTCGATTGCCTTTTGTACATAATACAAACTTTTTAGAATATGGCTTTCAAGTCTCTCAAATTTCCATCCTTACCGAGCCTCTGTCAATTCACTAAACACTCCAGGTTCTCTCCTCTGGCCTATAGCACTTGCAGATCCCTCTATCTAGAGTACTTACCTTATTCTTTTACTCAACCTCCACATCACCTTTCCTTTTCTACTTTACTCTTCTTCCCCAAGGCTTTTATAAGCCTTTCTTAAACCTCAAGTCTGTGTCAGATGCCCCTGGAACCAGAATCTCTAACTTCCCTACCCAGGCACTTACCCCAGGGTACTGTAAATCAGCATGTCTGTTAATTTATCTGAATCCCCTACTATACCTTAAGCTCCAGCTGGTCAGAGACTATGTCTGTCTCCATGAGAGTAGAAGCTTAAAATTATTTCATGAATAAATGTATATGTTATTTTCACTCTCCAACCAGCTTTTGTTACATATAAGCAAGTTCTCACAACAGACTTTGGGGGAACACTTCCTATCATATAGCCAGCATTTTCTGGTATCTCTGGCAGACCAGGAATAAACTGGAGGTATTAATATTATGAGATTTTAAAAAATTGTATTATATTTTAATTATAAAAAGTAATGAAGCTTAGAAAAAAAATTCACAGTCAAAAGTATATGAAATAAAAATGTAAGTCCTCATTTCTTCCTTTCTCTACCCATACCCGATTCTCAAAGGTAACCTTTGTTAATAATTTAGGGTGGATCCCTTCAGAGATGCATTTATAAATATATGTGGTAGTTGCAAACCAAGAACAGGAATAAAATTGGTCCTGAACAAAACTCAGAAAGACCATGGGCCTTGAATGCTGAGGCCTCTTTTTCTATCTCTTGTCTTTCTTTCATTATCACCTTTGTTTTTCCCTCTCTCTGAAGACACACTTTTTGATTGCTCAGTTCATTTAAATGAATATGGCTACCAGCAAGTACTAAATTTATAGGTCTTCAGAGTTCAGGAAGAGCAACCAGGCTATCCTAGAACCTTAGTCCAATTCCAACCAGGAAGAAGCTTCAGTTGGCCTAGGGTGAGTCAGATGCCCATCTTGTGGCTTGCCTGGAGCTGGTCAAGTTGGGTAGATGATAAAGGGTGGGGGGTCTGGTCAGTTAAAACTATATTCACTACAATAAAGTTGGTCCTCATATCATAGTCAATAGGCTATATATCAGCCTATTGTATTTAAAAAAATACAACGGTGTTAGTGGACCTTTATAGTGTGTCCAGTTTTTCATTACAGTCAAACAGCAATGAACATATTTGTGTTTTTCTGCAATTATCTATATATCATGGGACTTGGGGATCGTAGGGTATGTATATTTTACCTTTGCATATATATTACCAATTTGCCCACCAAAATGTAACAGATGACACTTTTACATATACTGGGTATTCCCATTCTTTTTATTTTTAGGCTCTGTCACCACAGATAAAAAAACAACTACTAGATATTTATTGATTCACCAATATTTGCTGATGGTTTATTCTGTGCCAGGCTTGGTCCTAGGACTTGGGTATTATATCAGGAAACAAAGCCCCTGCCCTCCAGCGTAGACAATGAGCAAGGAATTCAACATAAATGTTGATAAGTGCTGTGCATAAAAATAAAGGGTAAGTTGGTTTGGCAGGGCTGGGGTAGAATTGGCTATTTTAATTTGGGTAGTCAAGGAATAGAGAGACATTCAAGCTCAGAATTGAATTAAGAGTAAAAACTAGGCAGACATCTGGGGAAAGAGCATCCAGGCCTAAGGGAAGTAGTATGCCAGGCTAATTCAAGGACAAGCAAGGAGGACAGAGGCTGGGGCATATTGAGCAAGAGGCAGAATAGTAGGAACAGATCTAAGGGTAGGATCTAGGGAACATGTCTATCATGATTGCAAGCAGATTGCATTGTCTGTAATAATATTAACAACAACAGCAAAAAGTCATTTTGCAGTTCCAACCTCGCATCTCTATACTTTACAAGAGAACTCCCCGGTTATTCTCAGTTTAACTGGTAATCTGTGGAGATAACTGTAGTTCAAGAATGAGAAGGTAACTCCAACCATCTGTGTACGTAAGGAAAGCCTTATTTATTTATGCTGGTGACAGCTGTCCGAAAGAGCTCCACGCCGCACTTTTCCAGACACACCCCACCGTTCCCCTTCCACCAGAGCGTGCGCGCCGGAGAGCTCCGCCCAGCCCTCCAATGGGCGGGGATAAATCGGCTACGCTCCGGAAGCCGCCTCCGTCTGCCCCAGTTAACGTGTCGGGGGGGCGAGGACGCGTCGCAAAAAGTCGCGGTGGAACTTCCCTACCGTATACAGGCCTGGCGCTTTACCGTGCCAGGCACTGCTGAGCTAAGAAATGTCGGCTGTGGACCTTGCGGAGTCAGTTGGTCCTCCCAGCGGCTTTGCGAAGCGGGTCCTCGTAACCGGGGGTGCTGGTTTCATGTAGGTAACGGCGTCGCTGGCCAAGTAGTGGCTCCCCAGAATCCCCAACCTTTTCCTGCGGCTCTGCTTGCCTTGGCAACTTGGGACCAGCTTTGGTTGTCTGATAAGGGGAGGGTCTTAATGCACGACCGGGATCATCCTACCTTCTCTCACTTCCCCGGCCTGCGAAGATCTGGTTCCTTTGAAACTGCGACATCTTTAAAACGTCTTCTTCCCAAAGCACTGTCCGCTCTCCTGTGTGGCCTGAGATGTGCCTGTCAGTCTTCTTAGTGCTCCCACAATTGCAGTAAGCTCACCAGCTGCCTCAACCCATCCGACCCCCTTCCCCACCACGATATACAGTTCTTGTACATATAGGTGCCGAAAAACGATTTTTGGAATATGACAGGGCATTTATTTATTTAGCTAACTTAAAAATCTTTTGTTGGTACTAAACGTTTGATACCTCTTTCGCTCTCACACTTAGCACATTCAGTCATCGAGTCTTTTCTCCGTACTTTCAAAGTATATCTTCAAGGCCACGTCTTATCCCCACCCACCAGCCCATGTTACCGTTTTCTTTTGCCTAAACTACTGCTGTAGCCTGATTGGTCACACTGTTTGCGGTCTTGTTCACTTAAAGTCTGTTTCTCAAACAGAAGTGTTTATTAAGTAAAACTGCAGAGTTTTACTCTAGTGGTTCCTATTAGACGTAGGATAAAATCCAAAATCTTTACCATATCTTCAAGACTCGCAAGTGCCCAAACACTACTTTTCCATTCTGATTTCCTTCCATTTTACCCCTTGCTTTTCTGTGCCTGCCAAATTTAACCCACACGAGGGTCCTTCCTTCTGTCTTGAGGTTTTCGCAGTTGCTTCCCCTTTACTTAAGTTGTTTTCATCACTCTATCCACTCAGGCATCACCTCCTCAGAGAGGCTTTATCTCTATCTAAAATAGCCCCCCTCTCTACTAACGCGCTTATCACTACCTAAAATTATTTTGCATTTTTGTGTTTACTTGCCTATTGCCTGAATCCCCACTCTAGAATGTAAACTGAATGAAGGCAGGACTATTCACTCAGCACCTGGAAGAATGTCTGCCTCATTTTATAAAGGTCTTCAGTAATTGTTGAATGGATGAATACATGAGTACAAACAAGAAACTCTCCCAATGTCTTGTGGAAGAAGAGGAACATGGGACTCTCTCCCTCCAACCCCCTAGCTCATTAGCACATTAGCACATTAAATCACCTCTTCTGATCTGATAATGACTTGGAGGAGAGTACCAGGCAGACAAGTTTCACTTAATGAGAATAGGAGCATGGGCATAAAAAGGTGGTACTGGTGCTAGTGTTCTGGTCTAGGAAGGGTACTCCTACAAAATGCTGTGAAAGGGCTGCAGTACAAACTGAGTTCATGATTTGATCAAGGGCTGCCTTTGTTCCTGGAAGCACGTTTTGATGTATATTCTAAAATCTGGTGGATTATCTCAATGAGATATGCCTCTGGTTATACTTCAGGGTTCTTGAAACCCAGGAGCCACTATATTATGGGTATTCAACTTAGCATGGAAACCTTGGAAACCTAAGTGTAGTCTAGGACCCCCCTGATTTACACCATTAAATATTTGTCCCAAGAGAACAATTGCAGTAGGGTTACTATAAACATAGACAACTCCTATGCTCACACTAACTTAATTTTACATAATTATACCTACAGTCTCTGAAAAGGCACATTTTAGTTGCAGTGCATTTGCACTGACCACCACTCATTGATTTATCATCCTGCTTTACTCTCACACAGCATGCCTGGACAATATCATTTGGTTAAACGAATTTTTTCTTATACCTAGAACCAGTAAATTCTCTCTTCATAATGTAAAAGGAGTGTAAACCTTTGTATATTGATACTGTTGAGAAGGTTAGTGGAAAGTGTGGGTGTGTATATATTTAGTGTGGTTATATTCCTGTTCTCTTGTAAAAATGTAAAGGTATCTTTGAATAGTTTCCTAATACTTGACAGCTTAGGGTAACATTCAAGAATTTAGGGAAAAAAATTTTCTAATAAGTTATACTTTTTTCTTACAGTGCATCTCATGTGATTGTCTCTTTAGTAGAAGATTATCCAAACTATATGATCATAAATCTAGACAAGGTAAGTTTTAAAAATGAGCTTCATGAACCGAAACATATTTACATTTTTTAAAAAGTATTAGAATCCTGTCATGCTGATATTTTAGTTTATTTAGTCATTTTAGCAACTTATAGTCATGTGTTCATGCTGTATTTAATTGTACATAAAGTTTTTTGAAACTTTTTCATTTATTATAATAGTCCATAAAGGTTTTAAGTGTAGTATTTTTACAAAAAAAAAAAATCTTCACCCTAGATTTAATATTTAGTAGTCTTATGATTATTAACCTTACATGGAGTTGGCATACTCTGCTTATTCAATTTTATTATCTTATTGACTTTATAACTGCTTCCTCATGGAAAATTATGTCTTTATCTTTCATTTTAAAGTGCAATTAAATTAACTTAGTTTTGAGAATTTTCTGAAATAATTGGAGTGTCCCTGGAGAGACTGAAACCATGATTGGTAATCACAGAATTTTTGACTTTAAACACAAGATACAATTATCTTCATTTCATAAAACATAGTAGTAAAAATGTATAGTCAGGGAATAACCCATAAGCCTTATGAATTTTTACATGCCTTGCTATCATGGGCAGTAATTGTTTTCCCCCATCTGTACACAGATTTATCAATAATTTGAGTTAATTGTTGGGGAAAAAAAGTGTCATGAGTTATAATATGTGTAACACAGGTATAATTGTTTTCAATCACTAATTCCTTTTCAATAAGGAAAGACAAACTTCTAGCCACCAGGGGCAGGAAAATCTGGGCAGGAAAGTTTTTTGAAAGAGAGGTTTATAAAAGTGATTTATGTGTGTGTGTTTTAAAAAGGTAACAAAGTTATGTGTTTTTTTTTTTTTAACCTTTAAAACTGTGCTCTAAAAACAAAGAACTAACACTATTTTATAGGAAAAGGTATTATCACTCTTTGTGTTGTTTTTCCACTGTCCCTCCCCCTTACTTATTTTAAGCTGGATTACTGTGCAAGCTTGAAGAATCTTGAAGTCATTTGTAACAAACAGAACTACAAATTTATACAGGTATGAAAGTTTCTCGTAATTATTAAATTTGCTGTGCCTCTTTAGTCAATCAGACATTATATCTTTCTACTTTACAGACTTGTGTAATATGAACTTGGAAGGCATGCTAATTAAAGATCTTTTAGTTTCCAGTTGTATCACATTCTATAGAGAATGCTACTTTTAGATTGACACCACATATAACATGACATGCGATTTTGATGGCTCAGCAGATCTATGAGTAGCTGATTGAATTTACATGGTTTGTGAATTTTAGGTCTTAATTATCTTTAATAAGACCTTGCTGGTATTTAAAAAGATTAGTTTAAAGTGGGGTGTTACTCAGGCCACCAATAGCCAAAAAACCCACCACACAGCCCGTGAGACAGTCTTCTCTCATGAAAGTTGATTGATTGGCTATGGAAGACTGATTCTTACTGACCACTCTTAAAAGAGTCCACAGTATAAACCAGAGAGCCAAGTTATTAATTTGCAAAGGTAAACTTTAATGTCAAATGCAACTATTTGTCTTACGATTTATGGTTTTTTTAAAAAATGATTCTAGAAACTCTTTTTAACCACAAATCTTAAAGAATATACTGAGTAAACATTTTGTAATTCTATTCTTCCATATGAAAGTGTTTCCTTAAGTCACCAAAGGATTGTCAAGAATACATATTTTTAGAACTAACTATACATATAACATCAAAAGTACTCATAAGTTTACTTAGTTGTGATTATGTTTTTCAAAATGTCATTCCAGTTGTTACACTTACTTTAAAACATGTTTCAATAATGTTATCTCAATAAAGTTATCTCGCACTTTTAAAAATATATTTTAAATGTTTCTTGTTAACTGAGTGACCTTAGATTGGCAAGAACATTACGGAAAAAAAGCTAGTGCAGTCCTTAGTAGTAGTTAGTGCTCAATAAAATACTGTTTTAGACATTTATTTGCAAAAAAATATTTTGAATTGAATATCTTATATTCTAAGATGCTGAAGAAATCCATCATTACTATACTTACTTGACCCCTCAGTTGAATTTTCAAGATATTCTCTATTAAACTGGTGGTGGGAGGAATTCTATTCTTAATCATTTTTTGTTGTTCATACAGTGAAATGGTTCTTATGAATGGTAATACTCAATGAAACTTAATTATTTATGTTTGCTTCTTATATAGGGTGACATATGTGATTCTCACTTTGTGAAACTGCTTTTTGAAACAGAGAAAATAGATATAGTACTGCATTTTGCTGCACAAACACATGTAGGTAAGTATTATTTTATGTTACAGTTACAATGGACAATTTTTTTTTCCAGTGTCTGACTAGCCTAAGTCAAAGTCTAGTAATGGGTTGAACAAGTTGGTACTTAATGTATGTCTTTGAAAGAGCATATACTATGCTGTACCAGAAAAACAAGCCTGTGGCCACTCTATCATCAAGATACTTGGCACTTTTTAGGTCATTTTTATTAGTGTAGGTTGAAATGTAATCTTGAATACTATCTTAAAACTTTGAATATAACCAAATTCAGAATAGTGGTTTCTTCCAGAGAGATGGACCTTCAAAATGTATTTTTTATGTTGTTTTTCTTAAGCTGGCTGTTGGATACACAGTTGACCATTATGTTAATATCAGTACCGTTTTGTCCATCTGAAATATGTTCTAATAATTTGTATAACATTTTATATTGTGAAATATAACAGATATTCAGAAGAATTTAGAAGTAAAGTTAAATGAATACTGATACTGTGAACACCCATGTAGCCATCACGTAAACAAAAGAGAATATTGCTGAACACTCTATAGTAGTAGTAGTACTACTGTCTTAACCTGATTTTGAAATTATAATTTTCCTTGCTTTTCTCTACAGTTTTACTATCTATGTATTTATCCCTAAAGAGTATAGGTTGGTTTTGCCTGTTTTTAAATTTTGTAAAAATGTATATATAAAATAACATGTAGGTTTTTCGATTTTGCCTTTCATCCACATAGATTCATCCATGTAATTGGGTGTAGGTGTAATTTTTTCATTGTGACATAAATACTCCATTCTAAGTATATACCACAATTTGTGCATCAATTTTACTCTTGATGAACATTTGGATTTTTTACACTTTGGACAATTTTGAACACTACTGCCATGAACATTCTTACACAGATATCTTGATACGCATAAGAATACTTTCTTCTCTGTACATAACTAGAATCATAAGATCCGCACACTTCAACATTGAGATAATGTCCACGTATTTTCTAAAGTAATTGTACCAATTTACACTCCTCCAGATGTGTAAGAGACCTATTGCTCCAGATCTTACTAAAGCTTAGTTTTGTCAGACTTTTCCATTCTTGTCAGTCTGAGTAGTGCATAGTGGTATCTCATTGTGATTTTAATTTGTATTTCTCTGATTACTAATGAAACTGTCCCTTTTATATGTGTGTTAGTAATTTAGATTTCTTCTTTTGTAAAATGCTGTTGAAATCTTCTCTTTTTTTTTAAATTGGATTATTTACCTTTTCCTCATTGATTTGTAGCAGTTTTATTTATATATGTATTCTAGATACTAGTCCTTTGTTATGTGTATTACAACATCTACTCTGTGGCTTATCTTTTTATGTTTTTTCCTAGTGTGTTTTGATGAAAAAGATGTTCTTAATTTTTGTATAGTTGAATTTGTGTACCTTTTCCTTTGTTACGGCTAATGGTTTTTGGGTTTTAAGAAATTCTATCCTTCCCCAAGATCATGAAGATAATCTCTTATATTATCTTTGAAAAGCTTTATAGTTTTGTCTTTCATATTGAGATTTGTAATCCATCTGAAATTGATTTTTATGTACAGTATAAGATAGGAGTCCTATTTTATTTTTTTCTATTTGAATACCAATTGGACCTCTGCCACTTATGGAAAAGTTTACCAGTTTCCACACTCATATAAGTGTCCGTATATGAGTATCTGTCTTGATGAGTCTTCATTTGTCTATTTATTATTACCTGTGCTGATAACATGATTTATTGACTAATATATTACTTTCATATCTGATAGAGCAAATCCTTCTACTTGGTTAAGGATAAAACAGTTGAACACTCCTTCTGGCAGTTATGAGGTGCTTACCAACATTTGCTGTTGTCAGTTTTTCTTTTGTGGTTTTATTTTTCCCTGATTTCTAATGAGGTTAAAAACCTTTGTATTTGTTTATTGGATTCTCCTTTTTTTCTTATTGGTATATTTTCTTCAGAAAGTTTGTTTTAAGTCTCTACCATTTTTTGGTAGGTTGTCATTTTTTTCCTTGCAGTGTTTATAAGTTCTTTATATATTCTGGATTCAAGCCTTTTGCCACTACCTTTGTTCAATCCATGGTTTGCCTTTTCACTTTCTTAATGTTCTCTTTTGATCTGTTTAAGTTCTTAATTTCAATGTAGTACAGTTTATCAACCTTTTTCCTTTAGGATTAGTGCTGTTTCCTTCCTCCAAGGTCATGGAGATATTTTCTTATACTCTCTTCATAAAAATTTTGATTTGCCTTTTATGTCCAGATTTTTTCCCCCATGTTAATATTAGTTTGAACTAATACCATTTATTGAAAAGACTCAATTTTTCCTCATTGCCACCTTTGTTGTAATCAAGTTCCCATTCCTGCATAGTTCTATTCCTGGTCTCTGGTTCCTTTCTGTTGGTTTTTGCCATTACCATACTGTCTTAATTACTGTAACTTTATAATAATTATTGATACCAGTGAGGCAAACCCTCTCACCTTTTTGTTGTTCCAAAAAATTATCTTTTACTTTGTTAATCTTTTCTATTGTATGCTTGTTTGCTACGTAATGAATTGCTACTCTTAAACTTTTATTTCCTTATTTTATTTCATTTAGGTCTCTTTATCTTTTTGTGATAATATGTAACTTGTTTTCAGCTTTTCTCTAATGTAGACATTTTAGGCTATAAATTTACTTCTAAATACTGTTTTATCTGAATCCCACAAGTTTTCATATGCATTATTTTCATTACTTTTTTAAAGAATTGACTTTCCTTCATTCCATGGGTTACTTAGAAATGTATATCTTAATTTCCAAACATGTATGGATTTTCTTATTACCTTTTTGTTATTGATTTCTAGGTCGATTGTATTAGTTAGATAACATACTGTATGATTTCAGTTATTTGTGCTTCGGCTTGCTTTTTGGCTTAGTATATGGTCACTTTCTGTAAATATTCCACGTGTATAATCTACACCTGTTGGGTACATTGTTTTTACACATCCATTAGGTTAATTTGGTTAATCAGGTTAAGTTGGTTGATCGTGTTCTTCAGATCTCTTGTATATTTCTGGTGAATTGAACCTTTTATCTTTATGAAGTGATTTTTTTTCCTTGGCGGTGTGTACTTCCTTGAAGTCCATTTTGTTTGACATTAATATAGCTGTGTCACCTTCCTTTTGGTTATTTTTATGTCTTTTTCTATCTTTTTATTTTCAACCTTTCTCTGGCTTTATGGCTTGGCTGTGCGTGTGTCTTATAAACAACTTGTGTTTGGATTTTGTTTTTTTTAATCCAATCTGACCATTCTTGATATTTACCCTAAGGATTGAGTTCATTGGTATATTTGGATTTATTTCTACTGTCTTACTATGTATATGCTTTCTGTTTTTCTTACCTGTTCTGGTTTTCTTTGCTTGTTTCTTTTAAAATTCTTTTTAAAAATATTCTTCCTTGCTTTTTAAAAAAATCCTTGTCTGCTTTTTTACGGGCTTGATTGAGGAACTTTTCTTACTCTGTTTTCTTCCTCTACTAGTATGGAAGCTACCTATTTTGTTTGTATTCTTTCAGTGGTTACCCTAGAAATTATAACATGCATGATTAGCTTATCAAAGTCTAAAGTCCATCAAAACCTTTGCCCTCTTCCCAAATAATGCAGGGATCTTAAATACTTTAATTTCTCTTATCTTTTCCAAACTTTTTAAATCTAGCATTTGAAGTCTATCTTGTTTTGTTTTTTCAATTCTACTAAAATTGTTGTTCTATTTTATATGGTCAATATTAATTTGTATTAGGGGTTTGCAACATGGTGATATTCTAATTATGTCATATACATCCTTCGTTTATTAGCTGGAATATCTATATCAAAGCAGTTTTTCTTATAAATTATTGAGTTACTCTGAAATCGAATTGATACAGAAAAGCCAAAAGTAAAATGTACTTACTAGGTTTTATTATAATGAATTGGTTTTGTAGTATCCCTTTTTTTAGTATCATTATGAATTCATAGATTTTTTACACATTTAATTTTTTTAATCCATTGTGGTTATTATCATTATTTATGTTCAGGTTGACCCACTATTGACCATTGAGATCCTCTTCTAGTTGCTTCCTAAGTCCTTTGTGACACAGCCTTAGTAATCTTCGATGGTCATTTTATTCTCTGGTGTGGCTGGTGTCTCATTTTCAATTTTCCTTCCCCCTAATCTGGAATCAGCCCCTTTTCTAAAGAGTTCTAGCTCCTTCTGGTGGGAAATGGTTATTTAGAGTCATTACAAGTGCTCATTGCTGCTGATTGGACATTCTTTTTCAGTGGACAGAACTAGGGAATCTATTTATTTGTCTGTTTATTTAAGATTAAACATAGCATGAGTTTATATTGAAATATCCTATTCAAATTCAGTTTTTATTTAACCTCATTGACCTTACATTTATGTCTTTTTTCCCTTACCTTGAAAAACTAGGTCCTTGATATCACCATCATAATTGCTCATTTGCTTTATCAGACCCCACACAGCAATATATGAATATCAATACCAATATTATCTCTAGCAGTTTGATAACTGAAAATCTTTTTAAGAATTGCAGGGGAAAGAAGTCCCTTTTAAAGTAGTTTCTCACTGGGTATATGATCAAGTTATTTTGTTTTAAAGTAACTTGAAAAATATTATTCTCTTCTTGGCTATATAACCAAGTAAATACACAGATTCATTTGTCTGTTTTTGATTTTCAAATTGCTTTTTCTTTTTGATTTAATTTTGTTTTCCAGTTATGTAAAATATGTACATAGTTCTAAAGCTAAATTTATCAAAAAAGGCTTAAAGAAGTCTAGTTTTTATCCCTGTCCTTTCCACTGTGTTCTTCTTTTTCCCCGATAGATAACTTTATATGCTTTAATTTATAGTTTATCTTTCCATTTTAAAAAAGATGTATAATCTACTACCCTTCTTAAAGAAATGGTAGTCTACTATACACACCTATTATACACATCTTTCTCCATCTTTTTATACACTACAGTATATGTAGGAGATCATTCAATAACAGAATGTAGATTTTCCTCATTCCTTTTTATTTACATACTACTCCATTGTCTGGATGTACCATAATTGGGCTTATTTCCTATGTTTTGCTCTTTTGAATAGTGCTGTAGTAGATGGCTTTGTGTCTGTGTCTTTTTGTATATTTGTCAATTGATGTTGAGAGAGATTTCTAAAAGTAGGATTACAGGGCATATTAGTTCGTTAGGACTGCCATAAAAATATACCACAGACTGGGAGGCTTAAACAACAGACATTTATCTCTCATAGTTTTGGAGGCTGGAAAGTACCAGCAGGGTTGTTTTTTTCCCCCTCAGGCTTCTCTCCTTGGTTTGCAGATAGATGGCCAACTTCTCATTGTGACCTTACGTGGTCTCTGTGCATCCTTAGTGTCTCTTTTTGTGTTTAAATTTCTTCTTCTTTTAAGGATACCAGTCACATTGGACTAGGACCCACCCTCATGGCTTTATTTTGACTTAATCACCTCTTTAAAGGCCCTGTTGGCAAATAGAGCCACATTCTGAGGTACTGGGGATTTAGGGCTCCAATATAAATTTTGGGGGAACACACTGGATTGAAGGGTAAAAGCTTATGTAATTTGCCTAGATATTGAGAAATTTCTTCCTTAGGGGTTATAAACATTTTATATTCTTACTCTCGATGTATAAAGTATCTTTTTTCCCATGGCCACACCAACTGAATGTGTTGTCAATTCTTAAAAATCTTTCCTCAATCTAATAGGTAAGAAGTGGTATCTATGAGCTTTTAATTTGAATTTCCCTTCTTATAATCAGATCGAGCATCTTAACCTTAGGGACCTTTGTATTTCTTGTCTAAACTGTTTGTCATCTATCCATTTTACTATAATGTTATTTCTTTTTCATGTTTTATAAGTTCTGTATAGATTGAATATATTGTTCCTTTGTTTTTGATAAATTCAAATGTTTTTCTCAGTTGTCATTTGTCTTTTTACTTTGTAGTTTTTTCTGTTTTTTAACCATGCAAGAACATTTATAATGCAAGAACATTTATATAGTCAAATTTATCAGTTTCTTTTCTTTCACTTCTGTATTGTGAGCCATAGTTAGAAAAGTTCCCCTCATGTGCAGATCACAGAGAATTGATTCTTTAAAGTGAATTTATTTTAAAATAATTTATCCAGCATTTATTGTTGTTTTTAGCAATAACAGGTTGAGCTGAAAAGCCTAGTCCTCTATTACCAGATACTGGAAGTTTCAAAATTTTTTAAATTTAAGAGCATTTTAAATTTAGGTGTGTCATTTATTTTTTTTCCTTTATAGAATTTAAAGTGTTTCCTGCAAATTTAGCACTAATAGTTTTCTAGGTTCTAAGAATTTACAAGTATTATGTAATTTAGGCGTAAAGAATCATAAGTAGCAATGTGTTTTATTTTTTTGTTTGTTTTTGTTTTATGTTAGTTTTAAAACTATTGCAGTTGTGGTAAATGAAAAGAAGTGGATAGAGCTTTCCTTAAACCTGAGTCTACCATTTGTTTTGTATTTGTTTTGTCCCTTGGGTGGAATTGTTATAGCTTTTTCTCTTTTTTAGATCTTTCATTTGTGCGAGCCTTTGAATTTACGTATGTCAATGTTTATGGCACGCATGTTTTGGTAAGTGCTGCTCATGAAGCCAGAGTGGAGAAATTTATTTACGTTAGCACAGACGAAGTATATGGAGGCAGTCTTGATAAGGTAAGCTTAGAAAATGTATACTTCACCTACTTACCATGGACCACATAACAAACTTGTCTTATTAAAACCTACTCTGGGCTTGTTTCATCCTCTGATTGTACACACTTGTGAGACTTTCTGAAACGCTTTTCTTTTGTGTCTTCTGATTAAATTAAATAATGCCACCCCAAATGGCAATAACAGCTTGGTACAGATTTACGTGTAATTTGACTGACAATATTTTGCAAGAGCAGATCTCATCTGTTTGTTTTAGTCTTACATGTGTGACAAATGTCATTCCCATGAGCCAAAGCATATGTAAGTTAGGCTGTAGCATACTGCCTGCGCACCTTTCTTTTCCACTCAGGAAAGCTCATTGGAATGTTAAGGAGTGAGTGTGAAGTTAGTGTAGAAACTGAAATCTTTTCTCTTTTTTTAATCATTTGTAAATATTGTACATTTTATGTAAAAAGGTGGCTCCATTTCCAGTCTTTATTTTTCATAGTCATTGTTTGCAGTAACCTTATTCTGTTTCGTTGTTGTTATTATTATTATTATTGGTAAAATCAAGTAGCTTGAAAAAACTTATGAGAAAACGCAGACACTGACAACTTCTTTTTAATACTCAATCTCCTATCTGAGAAGCAACCACTTTCAATTCTCTTTGCAGTTTTTATGAGGTTAACTTTTTGTACCCTTGTCACCCTACATCAGGTGTGACAATAGCCAGAATGATTTTAAAAATGTGAGATCATGACATTACTTTGCTCAGAACCTATTATGTTTTGACAGTGGCCTTCAAGGTTCCACATGTTCTGGCCTCCCTCTAACTCTCCATCCTCATCTCCCATTTCTTTTTTCTCTCATGAAGCTTCTTGTAGTTCTTTTGAACATACTTCTGTCTCAGGGCTTTTACACTTTCTGTTCTCTGTGCTTCGTGCCTTATAGAGTTGTTGTGAACTTTAAAGAAGTTACTACATATAAAGTGCTTAGGAAAATGCTAGGTAGGCACATAGTTAGGGTTTAATAGATTTTTTTTTTTTAATGTAGCAATTAACATTTTAAGTATGTACTGTTTTCTGATTTTTCTATTTAGAAAGTATCATAATACTTATTTTTTTAATTTGTCTTTTTAAAATTAGGAATTTGATGAATCTTCACCCAAACAACCTACAAATCCTTATGCATCATCTAAGGCAGCTGCTGAGGGTTTTGTACAGTCTTACTGGGAACGATATAAAGTAAGAACTGATTTTAAAAACTCTCGAATCATTTTTCTGTGGACTTAGGTGTTAAACTCCAAGTTAGCATTAGCGACATTTCATTTTTTGAATAGAGGACATAGATTGAGAAAAGTATATATTAAAGAATTGAAAAAAATGATTTTCTATAGTGTGTGGACAAAATAAGACTTACTTCTTATTCAGTTCATCATTTAATAGAATGGTTTGTATGTATATATTTTCCTACTTCAGTAACAGGTAGTCTTACAGCTGTATTGAAAAGCCCTGTTGGAGTACCCTGGTTCCCAGGAGTCCTCCGAGTGAAGAACAACAGAGGGAGGGTAGATTCCTTTATCCGCTGTGTGCTCCTCTCTGCATGATTCACCTTTCTTGGTTCTCACGATCGGGAGGTAGATTCCCCAGGTGGCTAGGACAGTATTAGTGTGGGAGTCTTACCCACTATGAATCATCAACTCAAATCCCCTCCATTTGGCTTCTTATTAGGGACTGGGTCAGAAAGGCAAGCCAAAGAATGGCTTAAGATTCTCTTGCCTTTTGTGTCCCAGTAGCATCCGTCCTTTTTTCATTCATGGTAGGACTTT